TCCTTTCTGCAATAGTATGAAGATGATAAAGTACTTTTAGAAATATCAGAAATACTTGTATCTCAAATAAACAAATTTTCCAGATGCTAAAGTATGTCATGTAACATCTGCAAGACCTCAGAGAGTCTACTGGATCCAAGAGATCTTGACAAGTCCTGTGCTCAAATCAGTAGACATTAGTCTCTTTACTGAGAGTCACCAGTGTTCATATCCCTGAGAACAATTTAGGGTATGTTTCTGTCCTCAGTGAGCAGAGAATGCTGTATGAGCAAGATCCTCTCTGCCCAGAAACTGGAATTCCAGGGTGACTTTCAAATGCCTCTCCTGTACGGTCATTCATTGGCTTTGCATCTTTCTGGGTGGCGCTTGAGAGATCTGGGGGTAATTCTGAGTTCTCTTGTATATTCTCCATCGGTGTCCAGGCAAAACATCTAATTCTTCTGAACCTGAGCTCTTTGTAATACAAAGATAATAGAGTCTCCAGCACTTTGTCTTGTGTACTTAGATTCCAGCTCTTTGGAACCTAGTAAAAGAGAAAGGCTGAAAATAATTTGAAAAAGTCATCTAGTTAATCCACTGTACTGTTATCTTTCCTGAGAGCTGTTTATCTCATTTATTAAAGATGCCCAATGGGAAAAATTCCATAGCCATCCCAGGCAAGCTGTCGAAGCTGCCCTTCCTGTTAGAAAAGTTTCCTTATGTCTAACGTGAGTTTTTGCCATCACAAGAATACTTACTTCATCCATTGTGAACGTGCAAAGCATACTACTTCAACACTGTTGTTCTTCTCTTTATTCTTCTCTTTTGTAGACTAAACACCAATTCATTCAGTCTTTTCTTGCACATATTACTTTTCTCCTGAACCTGCGATTATTCTTGCAGCTCAGCTTTGACTCTCTCAAGATATGTCTTGAAATATATTGGTCAAAATGAGACAGTGTTCTCCCACTGAAGAAGGGAAAGTTACTGCGTGCTAGGATGACAGACACTTGGTATCAACTGCAACCTTTAGATGCTGTTATAATATTTATTTTGTCGTGCTGCCCTCCTGCTATTTTCTGACCTTGGAAAATGAAGAGCAGTTTACTTTGGGCTTGATGTTAATACATAATGCAAAATTAAATTATTATGTGTGTAACAGAGTAATATCCACAGGCAAGTTTATTTATATTCAGTTAATTTTTAATATTTGTTGTTCCTGTGAGCAACAACAAAAAAAAAGTAGTAAATTACCTGCAGAATTGTAACATAATTTAATGGGTTGAAACCTTGAGAGATTCTTTTTGGGGGTTCCAGTGACAGCTCTTCCCCCTTCACCTCCCAGCCTTGCTTGATCTCTGATTCTGGCAGATGTGCAAATGCTCTCTGTGTGTTTGTCCATCCTTCTCAAAAGTGCCATCGCTTTCCCCTCCTACCTTCTGAACTTCATGTGTCTCTACTCACCCTGCTTGTTCTCTGCAGAGACTGAAGATTTGTCTGTTCCTGATCAAGCTCAAAAGACAGGTTAGCTCTGAATTCAGCTGAGAGCTCATAAGTCTCTGTCTTCCTTGCAGTGGTGAAATTTCAGCAGCGGTTTGTGTTCCCTGTCCATTTTGGTGGAACGATGATAGAGCACTGGTGGAGCTCTAACCTTGCTTTTAAAATCTACATGAGAAAAAGCACACAGAAAAAGGTACTTATTAAAAGCTGTTTATACCTTGTGTGTTGAAAAGCAAAGAAATTCGTTGCATTTCTATTTCCTCCAAATACTTATGCAGACAGCAGTCGCTTTTCTAAGTCTTCTGCAACGTTTCATTGCAATTGCTGCCATCTCAACCATCCGAGGCAAAACAGACAAAGTAACGTGGTTTGACTGAGCCACTTCTTAATCGACCATTGCCAGGTATTTTGAAGGGAAATGACATTATGTGCAGATACTATAAGTTGAACTAATTGCTGTTCAATCTTGTCACCCAACTAAATGATTTTCTGAGTTCAAGACTGACAGGCAAAAAAAATTGTCCTTCCCTCATCTTTAAAACTGGTGTCTTGCTGTTTAAGCATATTGGATCAATTACAAGCATTAGTCTTCAATGGGAACTCAGCTTGTTTAGCAATATAGAATGAGTTAATGTGGATGCAGTTGATATCATTACTCTGCCTAGGGTAAGGGGAATAGTATGAGATGTGAGAAAGTGGTGTAACTTGTGCATTTGGAGGGGGAAGAAGGTATCTTTCATTTGGCTACAAATATTTGCATCATCATCTGTATGTGATGAAGTCTGTGAGAGGTGTTAACTCAGCTTATGTTTTGTTTTAATCAACACCAAGGATATCTGCCTATCTGTTCTAATAGGAGCTTTTCTTTTAATGGGTGAATAAATTGCATCTTTAAGCATGGGAAATTTTGCTCAGTTGCTAGGGTTTTGGATGTTCATTTTTGCATTAACCTGGAACTGTTTCCTGTAGGTACTGGGAGAATTTTCTTATTGTTGTCCTAGTGATCCTTGAAATTGGAACTAAGGGAAACTTTCCTACAAATCCCCGTTGGTAAAACTAGTGGTATAGGAGTGGGGAGGGTGAGTGGCTGACCACGGCTTCCCAAAAGGTTTTCATTTCACAATATGCCCTTAGTTCTTTAAACCCGACAGAAATCTTGCAAAATGGATTCTTTTTCTGCCCTCAGCCAGTGGCCATTGGCTCAGCAGCACTTCAGTTATGCAAGGTTATTCAGTCTGAGTTGCTCACTGTCAGCTGCGAAATACCTGTGGAAAAAGAGGGAAGTCAGACACAAGTTGGACCACTAAAGGTATGTGTTTTACCATATAGAGTTTGAGTTAAATGACCTGTTGTTACTAATTTTGGCTGGATATTCTCTTTTTTTTTAATTTTTCCTCCTACTTTCTTTTCTCTCTTTGTTTTAATTTGCCAGGTCTTGGACATCAAGGTTTGTAAGACCAATACAAGATAACATGAACCTCTTTTTTCCTTAGGGTTTTGCAGAAATATTTTGAACCTGCTCCAAGTCTAGGGATGTTGCTGTGTAAAGTTTCCATGGCTGCAGGGTAAAATGAGGGTCAATAAGCTAGGGCTTGGATACAGAAACCAATCCACAGGCAGGTTTTGAGTGGCACATGTTCAGGGCTGAGAGCTTTGGCTTCTGCTCCATACGTGATCTGAGCTCAGGTCTCGCCTCACGCAGTGGCCTGATGCTCCCTGTCATTGGTATCACCTTGTCACTTCAGGAATTATTTTCTCCAGCCGAAGTTTCTACCAGCATGCTCAACTTCTGATTGAGAGGGATTAACAGTCCTGTGCAGCACATTTGAAAGATTTGCCAGTTCTGAGGATGAACAGCTCTCTAGATTAACAAGTGAAGGTTTAAGAGAGTATTTGGCAATTTTATATTCAGAGCTCCTAAATTATTTCCAGAGAACATGAGCATGGACTGCTTCTGTCACCTTGCAATTCACGGGATGAGCGATGCTTTCTGCCACAGGGGCTGTGAAACCTCTTCCAGAGAAGCCATTCAGCAGAGCTGCCAGTAGAGGAGCTGCAGAAGAATGAGACATAAAATGTAGAGGTTAGGTGTGGAAGGAGTTAATTGAAGGCAGGGAGGAGAAATGCTGTGTTGTGCAGGAGAGAATGGAGTGGAACAGGGTCTGGGAGGAAAAAAGTGGAAAAAGGTGGTGTGGGGAACTAGCGAAGCAAAGTTCGATGCAAGAACTTGTGGAAGGGGAAGGTAATACTTAAAGAAAACTGATTTTGGTTGCCCTGTCTCTTAGGTTGCACTTGCTCAGTGTAATACCTGCCTGTCAGCAATACATGTGTGTCCAGCTATTCTGGCCAGGGAATGGAGGATAAGGGATGTCAGCTATTGAGTCCACTTCGCGTTTCTTGGGTTCTTTCTGACAGATGGCCTTGAACTCCTCATCTTTGGATGTGTTCCTTATACCCTTTAGGAGTAGATACTGTTTGGGACCTCTTGCCGCAATATCTTATCTCATCCCTCCCAAGTCATAGGCAAAATTCTTGAGTCTGATTATTTTGTTTTCCTTATTTGGGCATTTTATGGCTCCAATCCTTTTCTTTATCCTCTTACCTTATCTTCTGGGCTTCAGTTTGTTCCTCCCCTTCTTGCTGTCTTGTCATGTGAATAAATCCAGCAGATCTATGATGCTCTCTAGCAATCAACACTTGCAATTCCTTTAACTCTTGTTCTGGTGTTTCTTTCATTGCTTTCACACACACGTTTTCACTCATACCAGTCTAACTATTTCTCTCGCAAATCTTGACAACATGAAGAGGCAATTCAAACGTAGGACAGAGTGTTAAAAAACAAAGCCAAAACAAAAGCCAAAAAACCCAACCTCAGAAAAAAAGAAGAGAAATGCAGTGGAATATGTAGACCATTGGAGAGAAAAAGAAGGAGCCCACAGAAGGGAGAGGAGTTAGGGACAGCTAAGATCAGCAGGGAATGTAAGAGTGGAAGAGCAATGAAAGAAAACATTTAGAGACAAACACTACTTTTTAATAATTTTTCTCAAGCAACAAGTGCTGTAGCAAAGTGGAGCAAATGGCAGTTGTGATACTTTGTCACAGTACTTTTCACCTTGCCTAGGTAGGTGTTCATTTTTCAGTCAACTTTGTGATTGGTTTTAATTTTTTCCTTTATTCAGCTGTAATTGTATGTTTTTGTACTTGAGTTACTGCTTTATTTGATAAAACCACAAGTAGTTTATTTTGCAGTGACAGTTGTAGCTTGTAACCGGCATGTGTCTAAAGGTAAGCCTTCTGGGTGATGATCTGACACAGTTCTTGAACAAAACATGCAATGCATTTTCCTGAGTTTATGTTGCAGTCTCTTGTCTCTGTATGGGACACGTCTTCTGATCAGTCCGCCTTGCCTTGCACGATGCAGGTATCCTTAGAGCTCGCAGCCGACAACAAAGACTTCACTCGCACCGCTGCCAGGTCAGCTATAGCTGTGCAACGAGTCCCAGCTCATGCTCTAAGAAGTCCCCGGCTGGAATTCCAGGAGCCCAACAGGAAGAGTGTAAATGCAGAAAGCCCTCCCTGCTTGAAACTTAACAACTACAAGGACTCACAGAAGACAGGAGCAGCCAGCATAAACATCGTGCAGCCACCGCAGGCTGTACCAACCTCTGTAGCCCGTAATCTGATGACACAAATAACTGCTTCTGAAGAGGATGGGTTATTACTGCATGTGCTGTTGATGGTGCCTGATGGAAAGGATTTTATTGCTGAAGACTATGGGTTCCACAGTTCTTGTAATGTGTATTTAAACTGCAAGCTGCTCAGCACTGAGGAGGCAACGAAATCTGCTGTCGTATGGGGCACAACGCAACCTGCCTTTAATTTTTCTCAGGCAAGTCACAAGTCTTCTGTTTAACACTGATTGAAATGTGCTGCTCCACACTGACAAACACATTTCAAAGATAAGTTACTTTTACATATGTAGGAACTTCTCTGCTTGGCTCTGTTCAGTATATTAGAAGTATTTTCAGTATTGTTTTGGCTGCATTGCACAGTTTGAAATGCAGTTCCTTGAATCATCCAAATAAAAAACAAGACTTTTGAAACACAAAAGAAAAACAGTCAGAAAAGTTTAGGTTAAAACTGAAGAAAAGTTGACTTCTCCTTCCTTCCGTTTTGGCAAGAAAACATATAGTTGATGGCATCCTAATATGTAGATGTAGAATTTTTTTGTTTGTTCCATTGCTCCGAGTTCTTTTTCTTCTCAATGGATAATCAGCACGGAAGTGTGGGTTACTGTCCTAATATGGGCCAGAGTCTTCCCCCAGCAAACAGCAGAATTTCAGGCATTTAATAATGTTACGACTTTGTAATTTTTTTATGGACATTTTTCTTTGGAAATGTCAGGCTGCTCAAATGCATTTGTTTCACTTTTAACAATACCTAGTGATTTGTGAGACTCCTTAGTCTTCAGCTGAAAGAGTTAAAACATAGCAAAACATCTGAAACAGTTGTCTGAAATGATTTATTTGTTTTTTAGTAAACAGGTGTTTAAAGATAAAAGCAATGTTTTTTAAGATAGCGTATGATCTTATGTTAAAATTTATCTAAATTGCATTTATTTTCCTGGCTAGCTTTTTTCCAAGCCTACCAGTTTTCTGAAACTTGTTAGGCAAGCATGTGTTTGATTTTTAATTTCCATTTCTAAAGAGCACAATTTTGTAGACTGGAATAATGTAGCGTTACCAGAATGCTCTATACTTAGCAAATAGCTTCCAGTGTATTCTGTGTACTAATTCTGCATTAAACTCTTTCAGGTGATGCCTTTTTCATTGACTTCCAAACATTTGGAGCGGCTGAAGAACAACGTCATGATAATTGAAGCATGGAACAAGATGGGAAGCCCTGGCTGTGACAGACTGCTAGGATTAGTGAAACTTCCTCTGCATCAGTTTTACATCTCATTCAAGTAAACATCTTTGTTCCATATTTTATTGGGTTGGGATATATCCTAACTGATGCTCAGAGAAAGAAGGGAAGGATGGTGTCTGGGGTTTGTGTGGGAGGGTTCTTAAAGTTCTTAAAAGATACTTTATAGCAAAAAGCATTTTTGTCCTGCCAAGCTTCCTCTGGCACTTTCCTACACTGGGCAGTATATGTGTAAATGACACTGTCCTCGTACAGAAATACAAGTAGACTTTGAGAACTAAAGACACTGTGCTGCATCAGGTTTGGAGCCACATTAACTTGTGGTCCTGTGGAAGAGTAAAACTGTAAGAGATCAAAGTTACTGCACAGGAAAAGTAAGTGTGGCTTTCCTTTGGTGATTTTCCAAGGTTACGACTGAGTGATTTTGTTCCTCATTATGCTCTGCTTAGATCCCATTGCTAGGGATGCTGTCAGTTTGCACAGCACAGGATAATGCTTGTGGTATCAAAAAGGTCTCTAAATACTTCATGTTTTAGTTGTCGTCTTATCCAATGGGTCTCTCCAGAGCTCTTTGTTCTTTTTGGTTCAATGTTTTGGCTTCTTGTTCAGTCAAATAATATACCTGCTTAAAGCAATTTAAATTAATGGAAATACTGGACAGAAGAAATTCTTGCTAATGCAAAGGATTAATTCCTTTTACTTCGGTCAGATTAGCGTTAGGTGGAAATTAGATGGTGCTGGAACTGACTGGCCATTACTTTGTTAATTATTAGTGTGTCATTTGTATAATTTTTTCAGTAATCCACTGTAGTTTACTTGTGTATATCTTCCATGTATTATTAGAGGTTTTTACATTTCTCTGGGAGACTGTCCCAGTTCTTTCTTTTCTTCCTGCCCAAGTCCATCCCCAAAGGCACGTAACTACCTCATAAAACTGTAATGTGGCTACAGTATATTAATAGGAGTTTTGTTCCAGTTCATCACCTCGCTCACAGATTTCTAGGCTGGCTTATAGCTAAGGCCATGTTAGTTTTTGGAGAGCTGTGCCTTCTCATTGCTGAAAATAGCTCATGGATCTGTGCTTTGTGAAGACTAATGTAGTTGAGATGGATTTTGGAGGAATGGAAATAGATTGGTTTCTAACTGCATTAAAAGTCCCATCTAAAATGAGTTTTGTGTGATCATGTTCATACTCAGATGGCTCATTCTCTTGCTGGGGCTTTTTTGGGATTTTTGTTTTAATCTGTTCTAGAGATCCAAAGATTTCCCACCTGCTTCTTCAAGCTCAATATCCAGTGGTTGCTGTGGACAGCTATATGCCTGTGATAGATGTTTTTACTGGCAGTAGAAGTGGAAGCCTGAGGGTCATTTTGGCGATGGGGTCAGCTGATCAAATAGTGGCACTGCAAAGGCTAAAAAATGAAGAAGGAATGGTACCTCCCGTCACACAGCGCCCTTCCCACTCTCTGGACCCTCCTCCTACAAAGCTCGCAATGGTATTGTTCAGTAAATTCCAGTGCTTACTGTTAGGGACACATGAAAAGGATTTTACCAGTGGGTTCATTAACAGACCAGTAATCCCCAATCTCTTTTGATGCTGTAGCCAATTTTGTTATAAATGATCACGTTCTATGCAGAATTATGTTGTTTGTACTCTTTTCTTACCAGCTTTCTCTCAGCAGTCTTGACATTATTGCCCTTTTTATTGCCCTGCATATCCACTGCTTCTATCTACATGACAAGTGCAGTAAAAAAACCTCCCAAAATTGTAGAAAATCTTAATTCTCGCAGCCTTATTCATACAGGTTTTGCCACTACCTTTGAGTTGGATATTGTCCTGTATGCTTTGTATGTGCTGTGCTTTTTGGCTTTTGCATAAAAAAAAAATGTGCTATCAGGTTTTCGATGTTTCTGTGAACTTTACGAGGAAAATGGCAGATAGTGGTTCTGCCCCCCATCTCAAGCTTCTTAGAATCTTATGTTCCCAGTCCTCTTCTATGCTGTTTCCTGAAGAGTCACCCTTTCCATGTGGATTTCCTTTGTTTTGTTAGCAGTTAGACCAAGAAGAGGAAGACCTGATGGAGCATGTGTTTGAAATCCATGTGGAGAGTGTGAAAGGACTTACTCCCTTACAGTCCACTGTCTGGGGAGAGGCTGACTGCTACGTACAGTACTATTTCCCAGTTCAAGAGGCTGGTTGTGGTACGCTGCAAGGAACTGAATTGCATGAGGATGGTAAGTTTCTTTTATAATCCGTCCTTATTTAGAGCATTGCTTTAGTTAAATATTGTTCAGTGATGTTCTCTCTGCTTAAGTAAGAGGGTTTGTATTTCTCTGAGCTTCCATAATGCAGCCAATGCTTGCTTTCCTCAGAAGATCTGCATACAACTGTACTTGGGCTGCATCAGTAAATTAAAAGCCTGCTTTGACTGAGGCAGGGGACAAAGTTCCCAGCAAAAAAAGATACCTAGTTCTGAATCTCTTCACACGGTACCTTTTTGTTAAAGATCCTAGGGGGCTTTGCCAACTGATCTTGCAAAGATGCAAGAACAGATTCACAGGGAATACTAAGATTGTATACAGTTAAATTCAAGGAAGGCTTTACATACACAAGCCTTTCAAGATGCTTATTTTCATGGATACACCAAAAGAAGACTTGCCTGTTTTAGATCATTAGGATTATAAAGGAGTATTTAAATAATTGCAATTGTAGAAAAGGACTTAGTGTTGATCTGAGTGCTTTGAATCACTAACATATATTTTCTCTGAGAAATGATAGTCAGTAACATTGTTCCATAGCAACTCTTGTGGACTATGTCGGCTTCCAGACACATTTAACAGTAGTTTTCAGCCTGTGGCTCACAGGTTCATGGGACTGCATGAATTGCTTGTAAAAGATTTCTGAAGTGAAACTCAGAAGAGCAAGCCCTCTGGCAGGAGGATTTAACTTACTTCCCATGGGTCCTCCCTTCTGAAGGACTGCAAATAGAAAAATGTTGAAACCCCCAAATGCAACCATTTTTAACCAACTCTGCTTGACTTGTAGGCATCAAATTAAAGCCGTTTCGCACAGCAACCACTTTGTGTGTCCCTGATCCCATCTTTAATGATGAGCATCATCATTCTTTGTTGGTTCCTGCTAAGAGACTCCTGGTCAATGCATTTATGGCACCAGGAGCGGCTGGAGGAGGAATCCAGTTTGAAGTCTGGTGCAGGTACAGAATAACATCCTATTCTTTGTAGATGTCAAGCAATACAGACATATATGGTCATAGATGTCACATTCAGACATATCTGGTGTTGAAAAATCTCTAGTTGTGGGATGGATATTTAATAAGTGAAAAAATAGTGAGCTCATCAACATGTGGTGATGGTTATCTGTATTTAAGATTGCATTTAAGACACGTGAGCCTTTTTTTCCCCCCAAGAGTGCTGATTACTCTTTTCTTCTTACAACTTCATTAGAAAGTGTGTGCTTTTATTTGCTTTCTTCCACTTTGTTATCAGCACAGTGATCTAAAAGTAGTGTTTAAATGCTTGGCACATCTAAATTTTACTTAATACCACCCTGGCAGTATAATTTCATTGTTTTGGGTGGTTTTTTTCCCTAATACAAGTCACCGAGTACGAAAAAATATACTATAAAATGTTTGTAAGTTCAAACTGTAGTTTCTTTGGCAACTGAAACTAATTATTAGTAGTGGAAAGCAGAGACCACGAAGACAGGTAGCTTTAGAAAAGCATAATTATAAAATTATAATGTGTTCATTCTGTAGTAAACAAACCAAGGTATTTAAAATCTGCAAGTTCACATGAGAATTGTGATGGATGTGTTTACATTAATGTTGGTAATGATCAGAGCAGTTGAAGTGACCAATTTTTAGTACCTGGCATTTCAAAAACGTGCTTTAGCTCAGTTTCCTGAGGACGATTGGACTTTGGTTTAATCTTGCCCTGACTGCTCACTGATAGTGGCTGGTAAATTTAGGCTGTTTTGAGTCTCCTTTGAAAGGAGCAAATTACGAGCGGGAAGCCTTTTAAGAATTCTATAAACATCCTCTTGCCAGTTTGCAATATTTGAAATGGAAAAAGCTTACCAACAGATCCTTGTAATGAGGAAGGAGATTAGATACTGATTACCAGATTCCAAATCAAGAGAGTTCTTGCTGTGATGCTGTCAGCATCTTGAATTACTCCTAGAAGTGTATGGGGAAAAAGTAGAAACCAACAGGTGTAATATTCCAAGATTTTGGGAGTACTATTCAGGCAGTGCTCTACCCAAGACTCGAACAGTCAATTAATGTTCAGGATTTGTCCCAAAATGGAAGAAGAAACACAAGGCTATAGCACTACCATTTTACTCAGTCACTGCTGCTGAAAACCCAGTGGATGCCTTTCTCCTGGTCTTCCTGTTGTTCATTAGATACAGTGCCAAAACTCAATTTAGGATGAGTCTGAAGCCAAGTAGCACAGTAAGAAGCGGTCTGGAGTAATTTTTTACACTCACAAACTGGTACCACAAATCTGTTCTGCAAGTAGCATTTTTATTTATTAATGGAAATTGAGAGCGGAGAATATTTGGTGCCAGATCCTTCTCTTGTTTTTCTTTGGGATGCCAATTTTTCGTAGAGTTTCTGCTAGTTCACTTGCTAGGACTAGTGCAAAAGTATATTTGCAGCATTACCTACTTGAGCACTTACTGTTTTTTTTTCCTGTGGAAATTAATTTACTTGAGTTTATCCCTTAGCTATCAGGAGACTAACTAGTGTTTGAAGACACACAAATTAAAGTTGACTTATGTGCGGTCGTGAGAGAAATGATGATCATTTTGTCATCATCAATACAGCATGATTGATGCTACTTCTTTGTGTCTTACCAGGTATTATTACCCAAATGTCAGAGACCAGATGGTTGCCAAAGGGACCCTGCCTTTGTCACGGCTATGTGCCATGGTGACTATGCAGCATCGTGAAGAAATAGGGATACAGACTTTTAATCTTCCGTTGGTCCCCAGGACTGATTCCTCAGAGGAATTTCATCTGCGGTCTTCAGGTGAGGAAGGCTTGTAGGTTTTCACTTTATGTGTAAAAGTGAAGGTCTGTGTATTTGCTGCCAAGGGAAATAAAAATATGTATCTGTGTTGGAAACTGATACCAGCCATGAGTGTTCTTCCTCCCAGCTTTCACTATCACCATACCTAGTGAAGAATCCGTGATTAAACATGAGCAACCCTCAAACTCCTAACAAGTTTAAAAAAGCCCTCCCTGTGTATCGAACTGCTTAGTTGCCAAATAAGCCACAGTCTGTAGTTGAGCTTCCCATGTGAGGCAGGAAATGGGAGATCCGAAGAAGGGCTGTTTATGGTATATGGCGTGAGCAGAGACATCTTTCTGTTCAGCTGTGGTTCTTTCAAATGGTACAAACATCAGCTCTAGGAAGGCCACTGAGGAAATCTGAGACAGCTTCTTGGAAAAAATGAAAAAGCTGGGGCTGGAGAGGGAGTTCAGTATGCTTCAATTATTTTGTAATAGGTTAGCCACATGCAGCAGCGGAAAATCTGTCTCTTTGAAGATTTTGTCCCTTCAGTGCTATAAAAAAGATGTGTTGAAATACTGCAGCAGGATATTTTAGAAGTATTACAATGAAGGCACACATGAGGGCGCAGCTGGGTTAAAAAGCCTCTTCTAATTTTACTATGCCATAAATTTGCCAATGAGAAGGAGCCATGAAGACTGTCTGATCTGACTCCCAGTAGGTCAGGTTGCAGGATGCCGTCCTTAAAACTTCCTTCTGTGCCTCCTGTATCAGGCCATAACTTCTGGCTGAAGTACAGTATCTTGCACAGTCAATCTCAATGGATTTCATATGGAATTATTTTTTTGCATTAATAGAGTAAGTTTTGTATTAAGAGGTATAACTAAGTATTGATTATATTGGATGAAACTGTATAAAAAGCTGACCATTTCTCTCCCTTCTTTCTTTCATTTAATCCAGGCTTGCTTGATGTGAGTGTGAGATACCAACGATCCATGAAAACAGCAGCTCAAGCTGTTTCTCTTTTTGTACAAATACACAGAGCAGCTGGTTTGCAAGCAGCAGCTAGGTAAAGCCTAATTCTAAAAGGAAGATTCTTCTCTTAAAATAGCTTTATCTGGAGCCAGCAAGCTGAGACATTAGATTAGAACAAATTGCAACTGGCCAACTTTCCATCTGCAGAGACCGAGATTCAAACTGGATTCTGATCAGAAGTGAAAATAACTTTATAAAGAACACCAGTCATTATTTTTGTCCCTTAAGCTGCAGTACAGTGTGGTAGCATTCATTCTGCAGAAGGATCAAGACTGTAAGGGCACATTTTTCTACATTTTCACATTTTTCTACACCAAAGGCCGATATAAAAATTGGCTGATATAAAATGGTACCTATTTGGGCATTGGATCTTGGTGTTACTGATGCTATTTAAAAGCTAGCTGAGATTTGTTTACTTGAATTTCACTGTGGAAACATCAATAAACTAACTAATAAATGAAATATTCCTTTTCACCAGAAAGCTGCTGCTCTAAGTGCATAGTATCACCTGAACTTAGTTCCAATATGCGATTTTCAAGAATTAATAAAGAAAGGGCTTGAAGAGAGGGAGTCCATTCCGTAAGAGGCAGATGGCTCCTGTCATTCTAGAGCAGTGCTCACTGACCTTTCCTCAGTGTTGCTGAGCTCCTGGTCCATCTTAATTCAAGTAGACTGTAAGATGAGAATCACTACTGTATGGTGCTTGGAGAAGTTAAGAAAGTAGAATGACCTCAGAATCCTCATCCTTCAGGTGTATGACCTGAGTAATACCTGGGTCTGTTTTACTTGTAAATAATTCCATCTGCTAATTTCACCTCCTTTTGCTTGTCAGTACTACTCTGTAAAAATAATTTGGCTTGGCCTTTTGCTTCCTTCTAGAGCAGGTTCTCTGGGAAGTTATCCTACAGCTTTTTCTACAGTATGGGATATTTTTAAAGGTGCAGAGTACTTTCTCCATCACTTTGGTCTCAGATCCTGACAATGATAAGAGCTCAGCCACCAGTGATGGACCTTGTGATAGTCACTCTCACCATTTCATATCTGTTCCTAGTGTGGTCAGATGAAAAAAAAATGGTGAAATATAGTATGCAGCCAGAACCCACATCTGTTTTGACTTACAACATTCACTGTTTTATCCAATCTTTTCACCATGAAGACTTGAAACGTTTGCTTTAATTGCATTGGTTCCTAGATTCCGTGTACGTTATATTCATTCTCTCTCTTCTTTTCTTTTTACATACTGAATGAAGAGCTGTGGCACAAAAGAACCCTTCAGTCCAGTACTATGCAGGTGTGGGAGTTAATGCTTATGTCTCTGTGCACCTCTCCTTCCTACCTGAAGCAGAGAGACGCAACACACGAGCTGTGGCTCGTACTTTCTGCCCAGAGTTCGAACACCATGTAGAGTTTCCTTGTAACCTCATCATTCAGAAAAGTAGTGGAGAAGCCTCTTGTCTGGGGGAACTCTTGCAGTCTGCCAGTATCGTCTTCTCTATCTACCATCAGACCACCAAGTCAGGTAAGGAGGACAAGTGATTACAATGACTCAATGCTGTTGCAGAATGATCCAGTCCCCTTAATTTTTAGTTTAGAAGAAAGACTATTCTGTGTAGTTGCTAATAGATGTAATTACCTAAACTGTCTTCAGAAAAGGCTTTGGGAAATACTGTTCCGCTTGTGCAAAGAGTTAAGGTTTCTAAGACTCCAGCTGATCAAGATCACCTTTTAAATGAAAAGCTAATGCAATTAACAGTAATAGCGCTTGACTCTTGGAGCACCCTGCCTTTGTATGTGCATGCCTTATTGCCTCCACTTCATGAACGAGGTAATGGAGGTTCAGAGAAATGATAGCTTAAAATCCTCCAATGATCCTGTGGCAGATAGGCAGGATTCTTCTACAACATAACAACATGTAGAATTATTTTATAAACAAAATTTACCTAAAGATGACATTGCTTTTTACTCCTTCGGGAGAAAAGTCAGGAGTGGCATGTTGTTAGGGTAACTGATCACTAGCTCCCCACTGGTTACTTAATGTTCTGTGGAAATATTCCCTAAAAGTTTGTCCAAATTCAGTGGTGGTGGAGCATGTATCCTGTAATGAATGTGCACTGGCAATGCCTACAGGCAGGTTTTGTTCACACCCCTGTTTCTCACGGATTTTGACCTGATATGTACTGGGCCATTTGTTTTGACTTTGTCCTTTTTTCGTGGGTTAAAAGTGTTTTCAGTATGACAGCTGAGCTATTTGCTGTTGAGGCAATACAGCTTTCTTTCAAAATACATACTGTCTGAATCACTTTTAAATCTTGCGTTCCAGTTGGGTGTATTTGCAAAATGATTTATTTTCCAGCCACTGAGACATTGGCAGCTCGCTCATCAAGAGATTATCTTCTTGGGACAGTCACAATTCCAACCAGAGATCTGCTGAGAAGAAGATCAGGTAATACAGCAGCATTATGCTGCTGACGTTCTGGGTAAATGCTATAGTAATCGCTTAAAACAACTCTCATTCCCATTTTGGGGGGTTTTGTTTTGGGTTGTTTTTTTTTTTTAGACCAAAGTTCTCTCAAACATTGCACAGGCCTTCATTAAAATTCCCGTATTAGAAAACTCATATAAGGGTTGTTGTTTGAAGGTCAGTTTTCAGGCTGTAGGATGTATAGTAGCTGAATGACTATTAACCTCCTTAGTATTTTATTTAGTGCCATTTATTTTCTACCTTAAGATGGAAAGTCCAAGAGTAGTAGCATTCAGTGGAGGACCAATGATTGCTTTTGACATGCCAAAGCTGGAAACAAAGGCTTAAATAAGTTAGAAAGCAGTTGGATTAACTTTTTTTAAGCTAAGTGTAAAATATCTCCTCTATCTAGTGTTAATTTGTGATGATAATGTCTTGTGATGATAATGTCTTGTAATAATAATGTTTTCGTTATCATCTTGGTTATTTCTGCTTTAATCTCAGTATAGTGCTAGTTTTCTCCAACATGAAGTTTTGGGTTTATTTTTAGTGGGAAGAGAGGAGGAAAAAACTGAGAATGCCTGATTTTATACTTGGACATTCATGGGATATCGTTTTGTAGTAAAATGAGTGTTGTTAATGAAATGGAAAGTAAAATGCCTTTGGGATCAGAACTAGTGGTGAAGTTTTCTGAGGTCTAACAATCTGCTGCTTTTTCGGGTTAGAAATCATTTGACAAATTCCAAACTTTCACAAGAAATAAACACTTCAAGTACTGGTCCTTGACTAATGACCAGAGAGCAGAAAATTCTTTCCTGATGTTTTTAAAAGGTAGGATAAGTGTAATTATGATCTTTTCTCCCGAAGGTATTACAGGCTGGTACCCAGTTACCTTGTCTGAAGATTTAATGCCTTCACACTGCACAAACATCATGCAGACCATTGTGGGAGGACTGGAACTTTCTGTTACCTTTGCTCATCAGGATGACAGAGAGCGTGTTTTGGAGGCCGCTAAGCTCTTAGGGTGGGAGGGTGAGGAGAGCCGTGAAGACAGCATGGATGATAGCGATGAATGGGAGCAGAGTGCCAGTCCAGCGACTGTGACCATCTCAACTCCAAGAGTATGGCTGCCAGTCCACTGTGTGCTGCTTGCAGGCCAGACGCACCTAAATAAAAGCACTTATTGCTACCTCAGGTATAAGCTATATAATCAGGAAGCAACGTGGACTTTGCTTCGGAGACCAAAATTGAGTGACGACACGAAGAACATTACAGTGAACTTTAAGAAACCAAACAAGGTGATTCTCAGAAGGAGCCAAGGACTGCTTTGGTTCTTCAGAGAGGAGAAATTAGAAATCCAGGTGTGGTGGGCATATGGTAAAGAAAATGATGTGGAAAGACCACTTGATACAGATCGTCTTATTGGATCTGCCTATGTCGACCTCGCAGCATTAGCAGAGACGTCAAGGACAACACTAAGTGTTAGTGGTAAGTTCCTAAAGAACATTGTCATGTTTCATTCCTTGTTATTGATGTTTTAGTTTGGTTACTTCTCTAGTCACTTTAAGCAAAATATTTACAGCTTTGTTTTGTCCTGTGTGCAACTCGCACTCAACTCCTCCTTTCACTGAAGATAAACAAGGTTAAAATGCTTGCTTCTCTGAATTCAAAACTTAGCAAGTTTAAGTGGGTGAAAAATTGGCAGTAATGATCAGTAATAAGGAGACAATTAGTCTGCATGGATTGATGAAGAATGTTTCTTCAGAATTATGGATTTGGCATCATAACAGAGTGAGAACAAGTAAGAATAATGTGTCTCAAGGAGGCTGAATGCTTGCAGTCAGAGCAAAGGACTAGACACCAAGAAGGTCGTGGAAACTTCTGCTTTGTTTGGTTACTTAGGCTTCTGTCATCTACGTGGTATCCATCAGCCACCAACTTGCAGGCAGATTTGTGGACAGGTTATTGGCTTTTCTTTGGAGTGTGCTCAGGGAAGGGAGAAGGAACAAGAGTTAAAAGAAATTTTTATGCTGCATATGTATTGTATTTTCCATAGATGTGTATAAAATTATGCAGAGGCACTATTCCCAGGACTCTCGGGAAGTTGATGTGCTTTAAAATAGTAATCTGAGCTGCCAGTGGGAAAATGCAGGTGTACCCAATTTGGGGGATTGGTCACCTGTTTTTAACCTTTACAAGCCGATATTTCTAACAGTGCACTGGGTGATACCTTGCATAGAAATTACATTGAAAAACAAAATTCATTCTGCTGGTCTGATGTGAGAACTTTACTGTAATGAACTGTACCAGCTTTTTTCCAAGATCCTATTTTTTCTTTGGCTTGTTTAGCTGGTTGTTTGTGAATTCTCCTACAGGGGTTTATCCATTGTTCAGATGCAATGCTGCAAACCTAGCAGGAGCTGCTGTACGTGTTCACATCATTCTTTCTTCCACTTCTGCTGCTCTGCCCAGCAGACTTCACTGTGCTGAGGAATACAGCAACAGTGAAGATGAAGACACAGAGAAAGCACCTGATCTGAGCCAACAGGTCTCTGAAAATCAGAATCAGAAACTGGATATCATAAGTTCAGAAATCACCAATGGCAAACCACAAGAAGAAGATGTGACGTTTCTGGAAAACACAGTTGCTGTCAATATCCTTGTGGAAAGAGCAATGCATCTAAGTTTAAAAGGTAACACCACCACCACCACCCTTTTTGTCTGTCTTTTTGTTTTTTTTCTGCGATCTGTTCATAACAGGTAGTGCATGGAGCAATTTAAAAACAAATCCTCAAATTTACTCTGGCACAGTGAATAGATGTGATGGGTTTTGAACTTGGCGTTGTAGTGTTGCAACCCCGAGAGCATTGCATCATTGTATAAGTACAGGGGAAGCAGGAGGTTGAACTATTCAGCCTATCTCTGTTAATAAAATCCAAAATATAAACAATGTGATGTTCACTCTTATAGTTGACAGCTGAATTCTGAAGTCAAGCATTATCTGAGTAACTTAACCCCAAGACACTCATACTTCAAAGACTCTTGCAAATTTGCATTTTTAGCATGTAATCAATTTGTAAAGCTGGCTTACTCATGCTCTCTGGAGACTGTGGAAGGGCAATGTAAGAGCAGAGCAGTCTGAGCTCACCCAGGCTTGACACACTGCTTCCCGCTCTGTAGCGTGGGCATTGCAGTTCGGTGGCTAGTCACTATGCTGAGGGTCACCAAAGAATTGCTCTTTGCTTTTTAAATTGATGCTAAGTGTATTAAAATATTCCTTCCTAGCAGGTGATGTTTGGATCTTGATGTGCAGCGATTTAACACACTTGGTGAATTTTCAGGTTTTTGGAGCCTTTTGTTTTTCCTTTGAGTTGCAGTCTGTAAATGAATCTCTGTTAAAGATGAGTTAAACCCTTTAAAACACGTCAGGTGCTCTACCCTTCACCTTGGGCACCTCTAGCACTGCGTGACTTGATCACTTTGTGTTTGTTCAGATCAGTGATCTGATCTTGTTTGGGCCATTGCACTCTCCCTAAATACAAATGGGAATAAGGCACTGACCTGAGGTGAGTTTACTGGAAACGTCTCTGTTAAGTTCAACTGTTTCACAGTCCAGGTGATATGCCAGAAAGGAACACTCAGTGTTTTATGGTGTGGTAACACAACTAAAAGAGTCAAATACAAGCCATGATTTAAGTGTAAGTAATTTTGATACATACTGAGCCCCACAGATGGCTTTTTTATAATGATTCTATAATCTTCTGGAATTCATAGTCTTTGGAAACTTGATGCAACACTGGTTGCTACTGCAAAGTTTTTGATGGGATAAAGGAGGTTTCTTTTGATGGTGTATTCTATTGCAATATTTCCATCTTGAAAAAACTTATCATTTTAGGGGATTTTTAGAAGTAACTAACTGAGAAGCAACTGATACACTGAAACAAATGCTATATAAGCTGGTTTCAAGAAGAATTTTCATTCTTCATGATAACAATTTCATTATTGTGTTACACATAAAAAGGCTGGAATACATTTCCAGTCTAGTATGTTATGGATGATAAACTTCCTACAATTTTGGAAGAATTGCTTAAGATACACAATTTTCAGAAACTGAGTGAAGATAAAAAATGTTTCCCCAAGCCTCTTCATATTTCTTGTGATCTAAAGTCAATTTTCCTGTTTTCTTTTCCTTCATCTTCCAAATAATATAAAGAAAAGAAATAGCCTAAATTTCATAATGTTGGAAAGGAATGAAATTAATTCTATAAAAACGCAAAAGTTTTACAAAATGCAGAAGTTCAAACCAACAAGTCTTTTCTCTAACTTAGTTCTAACAGTTTTGAGCACTGTTTCAAACAATATTAGACCAGAATTTTCCATGCATCTTTTAAGGACTGAAGTCACTTTAATCTGCAGTTGCTAACCTCTTCCTGCCATGTTTTTCATCTTTTTCTGTACATTTCTCGCATCCCCAGGGAATAGATGTCTGTTCATTTTCTTCTGTCTCTGGTGGTCTTTTTTAAAGTTAAGCTTCACCACTAGCAGACGGCTGCTGGGTTGGCAGGCGTGGAGCCTTTGATTCTCTCCCCACAGAGCAGCCACAAAACAGAAGCGTAGGAGTGCAAGCTTCTCCATGGACCTCGCTGGGATGTAGGTCCGTGTATTTATCAATGGAAGATCATCCCTAGCAAAAGGGAAGGAGTTTCCCTTCCCAATCCTGGCTTCTCTGCCAGGATGCTCCTTACAGAGACTTTTGTCATATGGACAATTGTCCTTTCAGAATAATGTAAAGAACATGTTTCCAGCAACCCTTCAGCCACGTGGTAGCCATTGGCACATTATGCTGCCAGTCCGGACCATGTCACGCAGGAGGTGCCCTAGGCTTAACGCTTTTGTGTTTTACCGCCCACTTCCTGAACTGTCAGGTCACGCATCTCAATTCCTTCTCTCACCTCGTTCTTCAAATACTGCTTTTTTAAAGCAGAATGAAACTAATATTTCTAAGTGTAACTTCTTTGCAAAGTTCAGGCATTGGAAGTTGCTAGGCTAAATCAGGCTCTGTAAGACTCCTTTGATTATGGCTGAGCTTTCTTATTAGAGCCAACAATTTTTTCTCTTGTAGGCTTTTCTTTTCCTAGAAGAAAAGCAAGCTAACACTAAGAAATGCTGATTTTGCCTTTGACTACAAAGATTGATTTTAGGTCTGCCTTTACGTGCAGGAGATGTGAGATAGTCTGGACAGGTCTTGCTCATTTCTCTAAGCTGAGCTCACATTGCCCATGTCTGTGCTTGAATTGTCATATCTACAGTCTTACCAAACTGCAAAGAGTTTTGGGTGGCATGTTTTAACTGAAGTCGTTGTGGATATTGTAAAAAAAAAAAAAAAAAATTTTTTTTGTTCTCAAGCAAATCCTCATGGTCAAGGCATAAATGAGCAGTAACTCAGTAAGCTACTATAAATCAGTCACATTTGATCATATTTTCACAGAGAATCAGACTTCAGGAGAAAAGAGAATTATTTTTAGTTAAATCAGATTCATACTCATCAGTTTTGATCATTCTGGCCAGCAAGGTCTTGAAAAAGTCCAAAGCCATATGCTGAGTCCTTGGAAAGCAGAAAGGAGGAAACAATCTGTAAAAACTGAGCGATAGTTGGTTGCAAAGTCTGATCTTGTTTCCCCTTGGCTAAGTCCATTTCTCCTAGCAGATTTTGCCAGCTACAAATTCACGATCTGAACAGCTCTGTAAGCAGTGAAATGCTACTACAGCTTTACAAGCCATGATACACTGCAGCAAATCAATTTAACTAATGTAAATATGACTAAAAGGGTCCAAGCCTGGAGGAAGGGTTGCATATAGAAGGGAAGAGGCCCTAAGCATCTCTCCTCCTTTTTGGGCTATAATTCAGTGCAAATGATTGTACAATTTCTGCAGCTTTCATTCAACAATCTCTAATCCATAATATCCAGCAGCATGTGGGGAACATCTAGCTCCATCCCTTAATTTGACCTTGCGTTCCTCTGATGATAAACTGTCTGCCTCTAAGTGCAAACATACCCAATTAAGTCAGACTAGTTAATTCGTTAGCTGTCTTCTCACAAACCTTTTCCCAGGTTATTTCAGGATGAATGAGGGAGAAAATGCTTGTGGTTCCAGCGCTGAACTATGTTATGCAAGGAGTCTTATAAAGGTTTCACTGGTGCATTGCAGAGTGAATGCCATCCTCGTTGCTTAGCTTGGAAATCACAATGGTCTACTTTGTGCATGGATTAAAAATGTTATATCCTGAAGCTACTTAAAAACAATTTCAGCAAAGCCTACCTGCTGCCCCATGTATAGCTCCTTGAACTAGGACATGAAGGCAATTGATTTTTCCCTCCCTAATTCTGATACAAACTTTGATGTTTTGGCCAAAATGTTAAGGCCTCATCGACACTAGACTTTCTTCTCAAATTTCCTGCTGGTGCAGTAGCAGGGCTGATGGGAGCACACTGCACTTAATAGCGACCAGTATTTTATTTTCCATGTGCTCTATCCCTGCTGAAAGCATGTACCATGGGAAAATATAGGGAACTGTGACAACTGATCTGTAACACAAACTCCCACTTCTGCAATGGGTATGAAGGGCGGTGGGAAAAGTTGGGGAGGAAGCCAGCAAGAATTTGAAATACAATTGTATATACTGCTTTTTCATCTGTATTTAAATCTTCATAACAGATGAGAGTGGTACTTATTTCTACCTTGAAGGTGTATTAAGTTTCTCTAACTATTTCAGTCTTTCTGAGATGAACTAATATAGGCTATAAAAAAGTTTATTAATCCTTGGGTATCATTAACACCGGCTGTGCATTTTCTTATTCAGTCAACACAAGTGAGCTTCCTCTCAGCAATCCAGCTGTTAAGTCAAACTGCCAATACACTGGGTATGTTCTGCGTTTGCAGCTAGGATTGCCAAACTCTGTGGTCCAGCATGGAGAGTAGATCAAGCACTGGAATAGGGTCCTGGGGACCTGGGTTTTATTCCTAGCTTTGCCTCTGACTTCTCAGATGATCTTGGGCAAATGGGTTTTCCATTTCTCCCTGGAATATTCCAGTTTCTGCTCTGTAAAAGGCTCATGTAATATTTGTTCCCATTGTAAATATAAAGTATTTTCAGCTCCACCAATGAAAAGGAGTATTTCCTAGATGATGGATTTCTGTGTAAATTATCTGTTTTAATTGCTGAACTTCCTTTAGATTTTTTTTTTAAATTATTAACAACAAATCTGTATTTAATTCTGTATAATTTTAGGGAGTCCTTTGACAGAACGTGAAGTAAGAGCACCCAGTTGCTGTGTGTCATTTGCTGTTGCTGGTGCAGATGCTCCAATAACCACATCAGTAATAGAAAATACATACTCACCGGTCTGGGACTTTCAGCAACAGGCAAGGTAAACGACGTGGACTCACACAGACACACTTTGGATCTGACAGCCAGGTTAGGTGTGAAAAGGACATATCCAATTGGGGCGGGGTGCTTTTCTACTTACCAGGCCTGTACTCTCAGCTAAAAATGCTTGTTTCCATGTTTTACTATCACCACGTGTTCATATTGGGTGAAAAGTTGTTTGAGGAGGCTTGGTCTTAAAACTAATGTGAGGAAAGGCAGTTTGACGTGTGCGGAATCTCGGCTGCATTGTATTTTGGCTTTAAGACCTTGGGTGAGTCAGTCTATTTCCACTCATCTGTAGTTTCCCCATCTAGAGGAAGGAGCTGCTAATCGCTAAAGGACTCTTGGCAAGGTTAAGTAAGACTTGATCCAATTTATTGTTTTTTTCTGTATGTTTTAGTTTGTTTCATGCTTAGAAATTATGCCCTGGTTCAGGACCAGAGCTCTAAGTTTGGATTCACCTACTGAAACTTTATATATCTGGGAGTTAGGTTTCTGACGCAGAGCTGTTCAGCGTTGGCTTCCTCTGCAGTCACTGGAGAGGCACAGGCACCTCCAGATGGTGAGTCACTTGACCTGTGTTAGAGACCCAACTTAGGACAAAATTCCCTAAGGATGCCTATTTCTCTTCAGTGACCACCAAAGTAGTGTAGGGAGATACCTGAGCCTAAATTAGAGCAGATGAATTGACCACTCTAATGAACCTCAGCAGGCCAAGTCGTACATGGTAATATTCAGTAATAAACCTGTGTTTGCAGTCTTGTGGCTTCCCCAGTGTTTTTATACCAGATTTTAAATAAATTCCAAAGCAGTAGCGAAAAGTGTTTTCTAAACTAGGTGGAACAAGTCTGTTACAGGCTACAAGAAAGCATACTGAATTTATTTGGTCCATCACAAAATGCGTGCAAATACATACCAGTGCCTGCACGGGAGTGGGCTTTTCTGCCCGACTGCTGAGTTGGGTTTTTGGCTTTAGGGAATTTGTAATACGAAAATGAAACCATTGAAGGAGTGATAGCTGAAGTTTAAAAGTTTTGTTTCAGAGGTTGCTTGTGCTCAGAGTCATATCTGAATTGCTTCAAGCAACTTAAAAGCTGTTCTACATTTGACACTTCAATTTTCAGGATGTTTTTTTCCAGAAATCAACTTAAAATATTACAGCTTTCAACCATAACCCAGTGCTTTGCTGTCACTGTATTATTGAGTCATGAGATAAACTCTACTTCCATTTCTTCATGGTTTTATTATCCTATCTTTTAAATTTACAACCAGAGCGAGGGAAGGGAAATACTTCTTGAATAAGCAAAAGCCGAAACCATGTAAAGATAGTTACACTTTTGGGGGATCAATGATTTTGGGTTTTGTTGTGTGTCCCCCTGCCATCATTCCTGAAGGAAACTGATTTGTCTGGATAGATACAATGGCATTGAATCTTCAGAGGCATTTTACTGCACTTGCTCTTTTTTCCTGCTTTGCATAACAAATTACGATTTTGTTCTTTACAGATTATCCAAAGAACTTCTGCTGGATCCACAGCAAACCTTGGTCTTCAAAGTGTGGCATAAAGCAGGTAAAGTTTGCAGTGCGGTATTGAGAGGAGTGTCTTTTCTGCATCCCTTTCCTTGGGTGACTTGTATTTAATACAAGTAAAGTAAATTCTATTAAGTAAATTGGAGAGTAGAATTGTAAAGTCATTTTTTACCTTGCACTAGAAGAATGCTAGAGATAAATACCCACTGATTTCCTGCCCCTCATCATCCTTCTTTTCCCCATTAGTCATCTAGCAAGGTTTGGTTCTGTTTTTAATTTGACAGTATTTTAGCAGCAGGATTTTCCCAGTGAAGGAAGTTCTTTACTGTGTCTTTCATATGCTGTTTGTTACCTCTGCAGTTGGTTGAAGTGTGGCCAGCCAGTTGTAATCAAATACTTTTATAGTGGCATGGATATATTTTAACAATTACTCCTGTATCCACTCTCAGCACTCACTGGGGGAGTTGAAGGCCTTGTTGGGTTTCAAACCTAACAACAGAAAAGCTTTTTGTAAGCTTTTTTTTTTACTGAACCTGCAGTTTATTGTTAAATGATGAAAGATGCTGCTAATAGTTCAAACTGGTGTTTGCTTGGTTTTCTTGATAGCCCAGATCCTCCAATATTTAATTGGTACCAAGCAAGCACAAAAATCTGTGTGTTTGTTGTTGGGAAGACAGCCCTACTTCTTCGATGCAAACTGCTAGGATATGATCTTTAAAATACTGGGGTGTTTCCTTTCTTTTTACATATTAAAGTTCAGCTGACTGATTTCTAGCTTCAAAAATAAACTTCCTGTGTAACTCAGCCTTTCTCTGTATTATACAGAGTACAGAGTACCATGTGTACTCATTGATTCTCCTGCCAATCCCTCTCCCTGCCCTGGTCTTCCATTTTCTCTGCAGGGACATTTTTAGCTGAATGTAACTGCTAAGGTAATCCAAATAATATCCTCTTCTTGGATAGGATTGTTTGTTCTGTACTTCAGATAAATTTGCAGGACAAAAAAGACAAAACGTTCACAAAAAATGCAACAGTGTAATGACAAATCAGCATTTTTGAAAGTTTTGGCGAAGTGAAAAGGGAAGAAATCTGAGTTTCTGAAGTGAGAATGCAATTCTGCAGGTGGAATGCATTTGCTGAGGTCCTCAGATTGGCCTCCAGGTTCAAGTCTCCAATTGTCTTTTATTTCTAGCCCATTTTCAAGCTGAGTATTTTTCCCTTTATTCAACTCTTGTTTAACGAGTTCTTCTGATTAAGTATTGCATAGTGTACGTAACCCTCATGTCCTTTCTTACACCTGCAGCAAGGCCCTTATTCTACTGTGAATTATTACCAATGCAGGTGTTCAGGTTATCAACAGCTACAATAGGGACAGGTATTTTGGCAAATCCGTAGGGAGGAAGCTGGTTTAATTGCTGGAAATAGTTTTTCCTGCTTCTCAATCAGGCACCATAGGTCTCTTAGTTTGAAGCATGTTAACAACCAAAATCTAAGTGTCGTTTCTGTTGTCCTAAACTCTGTTTTCCTTTTCCTCTACTTTTTTTGTTTCACTGTTTATTTGCTTTTTACGTCATGAGAGCTGTCAGCTTTTAAACCATTTTTTCAGTTTATAAGATGTCTTTCCTGTGAATTCTAGACATATTTCCAGGACTGTATAGCTGACTGATTTTTAGCATTCCTGAAAATGTTTCGTTTACATGCAGTTTAAATTAATATGTGCTTTATATTCTTTTTCCCCAGAGACTGAGCGAGTGATAGGATTTGCATCAGTGGACCTTTCTCCTCTTCTTTCCGGCTTCCAGCTCGTGTGCGGGTGGTACAATATTACGGACTTCAGTGGACAGTGCCGAGGGCAGATCAAAGTAGCTGTTTCCCCTCTTCAAAACATAAATAACCTCAAAGAAGAAAGGCAGGCAAGGATCCGGACCCAACCAGCGAGTTCTTCAGTACGTACTTCAGTTTCCTTCCCTGTGCATATTTGATTAGATTCCTAATAATCAACACTAACTGGGGGTTTCTGAAGTAATGAGCAAGCATAGCAAATTCACAGTACTGTAATGGATCAGTCTGTGTAAATGTACCAGAAACACTTAATTCCTTATTTAAAAATTCTGCTGCATGTTTCCCTGGTAGCTGCAGGCCAAGACTAGTTACAGCTCTCATTCAAACCTAGATCATGATCATCTCCAGTGGCTTCTATCACTTTGTTGTTGCTTCATGGGCATTGGGGTTTTTTTGTTGTTAGGAGAAAGAATATTCTTTGGTTTTGGATGTCTGGGAGCCTGGCATTGTTCTGTTTGCTGCTTTGGGTGACAGCCGATGCCCAAAAACTTACTGTAAATTCAGTCTTTCGTTGGCTAGGAAATTTCTCATTTGGCAGAGATCTATTTGCCATTGCAAGATATGCCATTTCTTGTGTGTGTTTTATTCTCTAGACTTTCCAGTTACACTGGGGTGTGATGTACACATGTAATGGAGCCCCTATACCCTACTTTTCATCAGTTTATTCTTTGGTAGTGTGGGGGGAATAAACAAATGTTTCTGAAATAAGAGTGTTGTTAAATGATACTTCGGATCAGTGCTGGAAAATCCTTTGAAAATTTAAATCTATTTAGAAAACTTAAGTTTTTGTTTGCCAGCTCAGCAAGATACTACTTTAATTTCTCTATTTTCTTGCTGTGAAAGGTTCATGTGTGGTGTTCCTCCTCATTCTAGGTGAAGCCCAGCTTTCCAACATTTCCCAGTAATGCTACAAGCTTTACCAAGCAGTTGTTTAATATCTTACCAAAGGAAGTCAGTGTTCCTACTCGAGAGCGGTAAGTCAGCTGGCTATTGGTCATTTTGATCATTTTCAGGGCTCAGAAATCTATCTATCTGAAGGCTTTTGATTCTGCTGAAAAAATAACAAGCCCTGTCAAAGGTCTTTCCCTGTTTTTGGACTTAAAGATTATACCAAATTCCCTTTACCAGTGAGAGAGTGGCCCAGGAGATAGAAATCCTGAGGCAGGTACCTTTCTACAAAACCCAGATGTTCTTTTTCTTCTCACTGATGTTTCCTGATTTGTTTCATTTACACCCTTCCACATTAGAATTTACACTATGCCACTGCTAAAACTGGCAGATACCTCTTCCAGGCCTTTATAAGAATATGGGTTGTATTTGTATTTATTTTTAATAAGAATAATAAGCGTAAGTTAGAATAGAGTATTACTGACATATCCCCTTTATTTTGCTGTAACTCCTGTCCATGGCCGGTGAATGACAGCTGGTGAAATGCTGTAATATTACACATTCCAGTACTAGGACTGTCAGGTATCCTGCAGCAATTCCTGCTTTCTGTCCCTTAAAACAAGCACCAATGTTTATATATTTAACTAGCAACAGGTGAGAGAGTATTTTAGTCCATGGTTTGTTTATTTAGCATACATAGGAGACGATACTTTTCCTGTATGTGTCTCTGAAGTTTAGAGGGACCATGGGCCACCATTATTAGGTCTGAATAGCTGGCTTGGCAGCTCCCAGCGGACATTGCAAATTCCCTGTCAGCCACACTATTAACCAGTGCAGAGAGGGTAGCTGCAGTTTACTTTATTTTAGTGTAAATCTGAAACAGTAAACGCCGTTCTTGATGACATTTGAAAGAGCCAGTTTCATCCATCGGTGGCTCTTTAATGCATTTAAAGATGTTGGATATTCTTAGTTGGCAGACTTTTCACAATGAGAGATTTCAAACTGTTTTCTGTTGTTAAACATAGGCCTGTTTCTAGCAGAATTAGTCCCCCTGGAACACACACGCCTCGTCATGAAGAGCATATGCAGAACGTGCGCAGATTTCACGAATCCCTTCAGCAAGCAGAGGGGAACGCACACCAGGCGGCAAAGATGGACTCATTATCGCTATCATCACGTGCTGCTCTTCTAACTGCTCTCAGGTAAAGCGGAGCTATAGCCAACAAGGTAATTCAAAGCCTCAGGTTTGCAAAGCAGGGCTTGAAACGGAAGAATTCTTGCATCCAATTTTAAAGGAAATGAAAATGAAAATATACCATAACTGATTAAGAGGTATCAGTGGGATGTCAATGTAATTTACAGCAGGATGAGATGAGACTGGAAAAGCAGGGACTAGCGGGGCAACCCTGCATTAGGACTGAGGCTCTAGCAATGCTGTGAAGGGAAACAGCAACAACAGTGTTTCCAAATCTGGACTGAATGCTTTGCTTTATCCATCTTTGTACATCTATAATGCAACACACACTATTAAGCCAATAGTCCTCTGAGTTGGTTTTCACAGATGCAAGAACAAGCCTGTAAGCATTTTCATGGTGCATGGAGCAGGATGTCCTTTCTCAACAGGATGCCTTTCTCCTTACTAGAAGCACTTTTCTTTTGACTAGATTCTCAATTTAAATCAGGTACAAATTTTAGGAGACGAATATTTATTATCTGTAGAAATATAGGGCTGAAAGAGACTGGATGGAAAGAGTCATTCCATCCCTTCCCCTGCTACCACAAGCAATATATCATAAAATCCTTAGATCTTAAGCAGGTAGAAATCCTCAGATTTTTATCAAGCTCTGTCATAAAGTCAATTCATATTCTTGACTTTATGACTTCTATTGGAAGGTCATCTCAAATCCAACTCCTTTGATTAAGTAAGTTTAAAACTAGCTCTTTTTTTAACTTCCAACCTAAGTTTCATACCTAATTCGGCATTTGTTCTTGAGTGTTATCCTCTTGCTTAGTCAGAGCACCCTCAACACTTACCTAATGATCTATTTTTCAATAATAACCCTTAATCTTGTATTTGCATATTTACATGCTGTTGACTAGAATGATACAAATACAACCAGTCTGCCACAGGCTTTTTTTCTCTTACCAAATTCCTTACCACTGCTTACAGAAAAAACTTGAGTGAGCTGGATGAGGTTCAAAGATACTTCAGTCAGAAGCTGACCAGGTCATTTCCTGACTTCAGTTACGGTAACACATCCAAACCAAGTCATGAGGAGCGGGAGAGTGATCATCGGGGCTTGATGAGCAGAGAAGTGGATTCCAATGGAGGCCATTTTTTGGAAAAATCTAGTCAGTTGGTGTCTCAGGTCAGCAGCCTAATCAATGGTAAGTTGTCACTTGGTTTGGAATTTTCTGTCAGAAGTTGCCTTAAAGTATCTTCAAATTTCTTACGTAATCAGGACCAGTTCCTGGTGTTGGTAATCGGTATGTGTTGGTCCGTTGGGAGAATGCTTCAGGGAGACTTTCAAACCCCTGTCAGTAATGACAGTGTTGAACTGAAACATTCAGAAGGAGGATTAGGTGGGAGTTAAGGCACTCTCAAGATAGCGTAAATTCTACTTAAATTCCACTGTCTGTTCAGTAGAAAAAGGGAGTTCTTGCAGAAAAACAATCCACAGAATGGTACTGAGCTGAGTCTGTGGTTCTTTGCTAACAAGAATTGGCATATCTCTGTTTTCAGGTGAAATTTATGCCCTATGATGAATAGCTAAAATAAGGCTCTTTTAGGATGGGTAAGACAAAGCTCTTAGTAAGCAGCTTCTTTTCTGTTTATCGCATTCAATACATTTCCTCTTTTAGAGGCATCAGTGCAATTAACTTTCCCTGTCGTTAGTCCTGTTGGACACAGAATGACATCCTTAATAAAGATGGAGTATGACACAACAGGGAAGGAAACCATATCTCTTTGTACACCATGCTTTCAGATGTATGTTTTTTCACTCTGCCTGGCATTTCTAACAGCTCTTCATCTCAGCACTAGCCTGCTCGCTGATTGCAGTTAATTTAGTGTTAGCTTAATGGTTCATACCACTCTGATCTTATACCAGAGAGGTGCTGTAAGCAGCAAAATGACTAGGAAATCAAATCCATGCGGGTGATTTTAAAATAATTTATCAGAGTTGAGAATAAACAGTGGCTCAGAGCGCTGCCAGTTGAAAAGTTATTCTGTGCTCCTTCTGCCTGTGGCTACCTACAGGGAAGCAGCGCTTCCAAGAGATGGAGTTGAAGGGCACATTTCTATTATGCCAGAATTTGCCTTTCTTGTATCACCACCTTGATCTCATTTTTTTTCTTTTTCTTCTCCAAGGTTTTACTCTTTTTGTTCCCCTTCTCATCCTTATTAATTGCTTTTACTGCTTCTTTACAATCTGTCTCAAACTCTTCCTTCTCCTTTTCCAGATGTCCTCCACCATTACCTTATAGCAAGACTTTTCCTCTTGCCTCGGAGTAGCAGTAGTTTGCCATTTAACTTAATACTGGTGAACTAATTTCTCAAAGAATGCAAGAAATTAATAATATCTGCTAACTAGGAACCAAAAATAGGTGATTGTGGCTCTTTAAAGAATTTGTAAAATCCCCAGAAATTTTCAGGATTGCGTACATTTTATTAATGTTTAGGCTTCTAATCCAATCACCTTTTTTCAGAGGCTGTGTTAGGAGCACAGTCTTTGTTTTCAGACTTCACAGTTTTACCACCACAACTGAGCAATAGTACTGAGTGAATTTCTGTTTTACAAATATTTAATGAACAATTGTCTGTCATTTGATTCAAGTTGCTAAATTGAACTGGAAACTGGAGCATCAGTAGCAACTGTGTCTACTGGGCCCCTACATAAAACTGGGAAAGCTATGAGAGGAAAAGGTGGTTAGATTATCCATCATTCCTCTCTAGATTATTCCTCTCTCCTTCCCATGTGGTCTGAACTGTCCAAACTGTTTTTAGCCACTTCAAGCAATAGGTATTTTTTCCATTTGGTTTAGGTGTACTCTGTATATCAGAGTATTTTTACTGTCCAGTTTTTTTTCTTTACATTGATGTAGGTATTTCTAGTTATTTCCCAGTAATTTAATTCTGAACATTTCCTTTTTTCCTTAGCATTTCTGTCCTTCTCCTAGCCTCGTCAATGGTAAAGAGAGCAGAATGTGATCACATCAGCAGTGTTTGACAAAGCTGTGCATGTTTAACTCCTAACCATTCTTGCATATATGATTTTCTACAAAAAGCCCAAATAAATCAGATAAAAGGTGAATTGTTGTTCTGTGCATTTACTGATGCTGTTTTCTATTAATCAGACTTACAGACTATAACTAAAAATAGTAAAGAATCTTCTAATGTGCATCAAGACAACAGCAGAAAGCTGGGTGCTGCACATGTACCCAACCAGAAGGATGAAGAAGCCAGGACTGAAGTATGTCAAGGCCAACTTGAGTTGGACTCGCCCAGCGTTTGCAGTGATACAGAGCAGCCACACTCATTTGGGAGATCTGTGTTTGAGAGACACATGTTGCACGAATTTCTAGAGCAAGCTGTCCCTGAAGATGAGCATCCTTTACCAATAGACTACATCCAGGAAGGTGAAGGTGCTTTTGCCATCCAGCCACACAGTGAAGAAGAATATGAAGAAGACATTATAGAACCACGAACTCTTAATGAAATAACAACCATAACGGACAAAACCAGTCCCTGGTCCAGTGTGCTATCTGAAGTGGAGCAGGGTGCTGACCAGCAGCCTGTAGACTTGGGGCCTGAAGATCAGCACTCTGTGGATATAGACTGTTTGCAAAGAGGAAACAGCAGACGGAGTGGCACCTTCTCCAGCATACTACAAGGTGACAACCAAAGCATGCTCACCGCCCTAAGCCCATGTGTTAGCCTCCACGCAGACAAGGGCGTAACAAAAGACTTTCAAAGCTTGAATAGTGGCACAGAAACAATGGAGAAGGAGCTGTTTCAGCCTGCTCATTTGTCAGAAGTGCATCAAACAGCCAATGGCCCTGTAGAAAATAGAAATTGTGACTGGGATAGAGCATTTAACACTAAACCAACAGAGCAAAATGTAGAGTTTCATGCAGCCTCCAAAGAACTACTGGAATTTCCAGGAGAAGTTAGTTTGATCAATCCAAAAACCACAGAAAGAGAGGAGGAGGAAAACGGTGAGATTGTAAGTAAAGATCGTCAAGACAAGGAAGAAAGTGGTTCCGATGAGCTCTGCGTTAGGAGTGTATCAGCCCAAGCAGGCTCGGAAGGAAGTAGTGAAAGCTTTTCTGATGACAGTAGTGAAGACCCACTGGGAGAGTCAGAAAAGTCTGTCAAACCGACAACTGTTTTGTATCCTTCTTTTCTCTTTTCTTAAGCACACATTGCATTCAAGGAGTGTGTCCTATTTCTTAGTTAGAATCTCACTGGCTTCAGGAAAGAGAAATTTCCTGTGTGGAGCTCTTTCCTGGGAAATGACTCTAGAATTGGTGACCTGGGAAGGTGTTGGAAGACCCTGTAAGGCAAGTTTGTGCCCCATGCTTTGTGGGGGCCAGGTGAGAGAACCAAGTGTTCAGAACGATAGAATATTGATTGAAATGAATGAGACTCACCATCTGGGACCCATTAACAGCTGTTACAGTGAGGCTTATTCCACATCTGCAGTTCCTGTGGAGCTCTGTGCAACTACACGCTGCTGAAGGTTGTTCCTTAACAGCTCTGCCCAGATCTGATCCTGTTGTTGTTCCCAACTTCTTCCTTCCACCCCAGCAGATGGAAGCCTCCATGAGGCTGCTCAGCATTTCTTCTCATCCTTCCACAGCTCTGAAAGTAAGTACGGGACATCCTTTCCTTTATTGTCCTAGCTTAACAGAGTCCCTTCGTTAAAGAGTATTTCTCCCTGGCTTTGCCTGTCAGCACTCAGGTTAGAGGTGATGGCTTCCAAATCGAGTCAAGAAGAATCTTTCTGATACCTCTTCTCTGTGACAATACTTTTCAGCATTCATGGCTGCATCATCTGTGATACTTACGCATTTATGTTAACTGGTTTGTCTATATATTCAGTGAATGTTGCTCTTCTCCATGGGGGTCAGTGGAAGTGGCAGGTGCTCACTCCACACTTCTTTGTGCTTTAATGTGAGGTAAGGTGCATAATTTCGAGAATGCAAGCTGTAAATTGTAATTATGACTCCAATTTATATCTTTTAGATAGACAGATAGATATCTTTTAGAGTTTGCAGCAGAGAGCTTCTCCTTGAGAGATATCAAGTAACCATTCTTCGATGGAGGGTGTAGTAGAATAGTTTGAGTGGTCGTTACTCATACAGGAAAACTGTTGATTACTTTTGCTGTTTCTTAGGTGTTTTTATGTGCATAAACATTATTTACTGCAAAAGGTTAGAGATAATTTTATTTCCAAAAAGGTTGTGGCTCAGTTGTTTTGAGGTCTAAATATTATTCTTTTCCAGCCACAAATTTGCTATGGATGTTGATGTGGATCCGGGTGCTGCAGCAGCTGGGCTGTTTGTTTACCACTCCCGGAAAAGATAATGCATTGGTTCCCCTCCTTATGACCTATGAAACAAATGCTCTAAGGAACATTTATGTAATCGGAAACAGCTTGCTTGCTTAAACAGAACAGAAACAGGCAGGATCTAATAGCTGTGAAGTAATGGAAACTACTTTAAACTAATAAACATGTTTACAGCTCAGGTAAAATACCTGACTTTTTGCTGGTTTGTGTTGTAAAAATGATTTTTTTTCTGATTGACATGATACT